TATTATTTTTCTTGTTTGCTCTCAATTACCTGAGATGCAATGTATAACTTCTAAGGGTTCAGTTATGGTCTGAATTGAAGTGAATTATTTTCTATTTTGGTATGAATTTTTCTATAATTACAAAAAAATATTAGCAAATTTACTATTGCTCTCTCCAGTCCCAAATATTTAATATTTCCCATGACCTAAATGCTCATGCATGTTTCATATTTCTTTTTAACATCCGATTCTATTAAGCAGCAAATACACACACGTTATATTGCAATAGTATAGCAATAAGAGAATAATGGTAGATGAAAAAAATGTTTCTTTACACAATGAAGTGTTGCTTCATTACATATTTTAGCCACCGTATTCTTGAAAAATCACTCATTCTACAATTTTACTTTTTATCATATCTATTATCAAATTCTAATTACCCAGACCCACTCGACATGTAAATGTTAGAAAAATAAAGACTATTAAAAAATAAAAATTAATCTCTTTACTTGAATTAATTGTATTGTTCGGTTACAATAAAAAACGAAGCCAATAGTCGGTGACAAAAAAACTAATTTCAACTCGGAACCTTAAAGGATAATTTGCATTTCAAGCACCGCGCTCAGTTTCTAATAAAAATTTCCCGAAGAGTTCCATTTAGGTGTAACCCTTAATTCGAAAATAACAAAAAAAAAAATTTGATAAAATCTACCGTTTTATCGACAATAAAAGTTCGAACTCATTCGCGTCGCGGTGGATGAAGTTAATTCTGCACCCACCAATATTCGAGCTGGTTTGTATTTATTGCCAATATTGGTTACCGACCGCCTTTTTCCCTACCCACCACAGTGCTTACCGTTTCTTAAGTCTGAGGGCTATTTAAGGGCTCCTAAAATATTTTTCTTTCTATGATATTTTAAGGTCATTTGTTTTAAATTTAAAGAAACATTTTTTATGCTTATGATAAAAAGACAAGAGACAAATATTCAAACAAATTCTTAGTAAAGTACAAAATACGTAGGACACGTAGCTTATGGATTTTTTAAAACGAAATAGCGTAGCTATAATGTTGAAATTTTCTTTTCTTAAGCTACTTTGCTAATGGAATGCATTTTTTCAAAAGCTGGCAGTATTTATTTTTTGATTGTTACTCATGTCAAACTCGAAAGAGAAATGCGACGGAATATTGAAAACCGACAATTTTAGTTGGGTTATCAGATTTGTTTTGTATGATTCGAACTGAGATGGTATATTTTTCAACTTTTTACCGAATAAATACTTAAGCTTTACAGGAATTCGATTACTAATCTTTTTTTTTTTAATTTAATTATGCCTTTGCTAACAAAAGTTGCGTTACGGTGTAACACTCAAAAAAAGTTTAAATTCAAGCAACTATTCACAGCAATTTTGTACATTTCTTAGTTTTAGTAGTTAGAGTAACTTGAAAAAGATATAAAAAAAAATAGTTTTTGTTTTATTCAATTGCTTGTTTTATAAGTTTATTTTATTCGCCAATTCCATCCATTATTAACTTGAATGATAAATAACACAATACTGGTGGTATTTATTTTTAATATTACGCGTTAATCCTATAGTCAAAATTCAAAAAAGTCTTGATTTCAAGTGAATAAATACCATGTTGTTTATTGTTCAGAAAGAAATTAAATGTGTAAAAACAAATTCCAACACGTATTTAAATTCAAATGAAACTACGTAAAAATATTTAATGATTTTAACTGTTTTTAATATTTACAATAGAAAATTCTGCAAGTTCACGTGGACCGTGAGCGTATGAAACAGAGATAACGTCATAAAAACTGTGTAAGCCAATAAAAATAAAACCCAGCCTCTTCAAGAATTAAGTTAAAAAAAAGCTTGGGTTTGTTGCTTAGCAACGATACTTCTTGCTTACTATGGTCACGTGACGTTTTAATGACAGTAGTAATGACTAAAGTTTACTTTCTTGGTGATTCGTTTAAACTTTAAATTGTAAACATCAGTTTTTTAACTTTTCAAGGGGAGCCTCTTGGTAGAGCAAGGGAGTCCAGTAGATTTTAGAGTTTAATGTACTGATTTCGATCCTAAAAATGTGTACCGCACACATGGGCCTTATACCAGACTAAATCTAAGTTTAGTTTTAGTAAATATACAATTTTTTAGTGGGGGTTTCAATTTTTTGGAAGTATAATGGATTTCGCAAAGAGAGGCATTTGCAAACTTTCAAAAATTATTCATTTAATAAAAAAATATATTGGCAATTTTGCATCTCGACTAACAAATTTGATATCGTTCAGGTATGTTCAAAAGTGCCAAATATTTTGCATCAAAGAGCTTTATTTCAAGAATGCATCCCAACCCTTTTCATAATCTTGGTCCTTGGAGAATGCAGACGATGATTATTATTCAATTCAAGTAACATAAAAACTGCAATTCAAAATCATCTTTCTATAAATATGTGATTAACAAAAAGGCCAAAAAGTGTTATTTTCGATTTGAATAAATTACTTTTAAGCAAACTAGTTTAATTAAAACAGTAAAATCAATTCCTGGTTTAAAAATTAAACCCTTTAAAGCTTTTATCGATTGCACGTAAGTTTAACGTTTTTAAGTTTTAAATTAGCATTTCAATTTTCAATTCCTCGTTCAAAAATTATCCAAATTTCTTAATTTTCTGCCTCATTATTTTAATAAAACCATTATTTTCTTTAAAAATATACAAATTTACTCAGTAACAATTTTAAAGTTTACTAATAATTACTGTCAACAAATTCTTTTTCGAATTTTTTTTATTTTTTATTTCAGCCGACTCATGAATTTGAAATTTGCAAAGCTATTCATAAACGTATGTACTGAAAGCAATGCAAATGGCAGTGGATATTTGTTATTTTCTGTTGAATTTTGTTTTGAAGATAAATATTGAAAATCAAACTATATAAAAATGGTAAATCAGCTAAAATTTACAAAATATATATGTAGACCGGATATTTAAATGAGTTGAATTTTACAGAAAAAAGATAAAATGAATTGGAACAATATTTTATGAACTTTTACGTTTGCAAGAATGGGAGAACCAATTTTCCCCTGAAATGTTCACATTGGTTCATATTATTGGTTTTTACATTTCAAATCTATGAGGAAGCGATTTTATAAGATGTCTGAATAATGAATAATAATATGTACACTGAGTAACTCGAGATGTGACTTTTTAAGGCTTCCTCTCAGTTGTTTTGTTCAGCAAATCTAGAAATACACACGCATAGAGAACAGATGGGGTAGAGATAGATGGCATCAGTCAGAGTGTGCCTACTATCAAAATCCTAAAGTTGCTACTGTTTTTGTCTCGCGTAATAATAATGAATTCGTCTTGAAGTCAAACGGGTGAATTGACAAAATTCTAGAATTTTTCAAACTTAGGGAAACTGAAATGAAAGCTCAGTCTGAAGCAAATCTTTCAATAGTGAAAAAAGAATAAATTCAAATTATAAGACTTGATTAAACTTAACTTAAAGTATCAATAACTTTAAAAAAGTCAATTTAAAGAAAAAGAAAAAATCCATATTGTAGGGAAGCGATAGAGAAAGGGTATATGAATAAGGATTAAAAAGAAATGACTGAATACATTCTGCTACTTAAAAAAAAAATACTACAAATTACACGAAGAGGAACCAAAAAGCAAATTCAAGATATTCAAATTAAATATCTTTTTTCATTACCAAAAATGTTTGAAAGTGAAACTAAAATACATCGGAAAAAAACTATTCTTTCCAATTAAAATGCTGCGGTGAACAATTTCAGAAGTTAAAAACTTTTTCCGTATCAAGATACCTGCTCATAGGCTGAACTCAGTAAAAAGTAGTAGCCCACGATATTTTTGTGATGTCTTGTAAAATCTTTAACCTACAGACAGATTCAAGTTAATAATAAAAACGAAACATGTACTGTAAGTGAAAAAATCATAAACAAAAAACTTTTCATATGAAATTAGGAACTTTATGGATATTTTAGTGACCTTTTTTCATCGCCTCAACATGTTTTTTTTTTCATTTTTTTTTTTAACCTGACAGAAAACAAAATGAAATAAAAATGTAATATTGTAAAATGAGACAAATAAAAAAAAAAGATGAATGCAAACTATTGTTACTGAATCTACAAAAATTAATTAACAATGTGAAGATTCTCGCGATATTGCATGTTCACATTTACTTTCTTCTACAAATTTCCTTTAATTGAAAAATGTTTATTAATTGTTTTTTATTTAGATTCTTTTAGTTTAAGAATTATATCAAAGTTGTTTTTTAAAGAGTATCAAAACAAAAAAAATGATAAATATTGACAGCGTTTCAATTTGAAAATTTAATTTTTTTTTTTCAAAATGTTTGATTCAAAATTCTTAATTTTTTTTAATATTCAACAATTTTTTTTTAATTACGAAAAAAAAAAAATTAAAAAAAACTAAGAATAATAAACATGGAAGAAAAAGGTTGTTTTGTAAGGCTATTTTAATTAAATTGTTTGAATTATATCTGGAATGCAAAATTAGTTGGAATTAAGTTATTTTATCCAGAAAACTCGAGTATTTCGCTTTCCAATAATTTATTTTGTTTCAAAGAAAGAAATGAGGCAATGATAAATCAAAAAGGTAAAGCAAGATGCTGAATGTTAATTTTATTTCATTTTTCTTAAATGTAATTCATCACTACTTTCATCTTTAAAAACAAAATAATTTCGTAGCTATATTCTTTTATTTGTTTAAAAATATTTGAATAAACCGAACTATATTTCTACAAAAAACAAAACAAAAACAAACTGTGGATCGACTAACAAATAGTGAATTATTATTAAGAGAAATAAAAATTGTTTGATCACTTCATAAGTCATACATTTTCTAGAATTTTTTTAAATTCAATTAATGAATTTAGATTACACTAAGGGAAAAATAAACTACGATTAATTCATTAATATCAAAAGGAAAAAAAAATAAAAAGTTGGTTGGCAGAAAAAAAGTAAAGCAATAAACTTACCATAGTTTTATAAAAGAAAGTAGACAGATTGCGTTGGCAGCAGCATCCACGACTGGTTTTTTAAAAGAGATAAATCCAGGCGGCGGCCGCTCGTCTTGTTTCTTCTTCTCCAAAAAGATTCACTGAGGCAGACGACACTGAAGTTAGAGGCGCGCGCCGTTTTTTTTTTTTTTTTTTTTTCCCGTCTTTCTTTTCTCCTCTTCTTTTACATTCCTTTCTTCTTTCTTCGCATCTCCCTTCCCCTCTCTATCTGGATATCTATATCTTTCTCAGTCTCTATTTATTTCTTCCTCTTTATCTTTTTACTCTTTACTCTTTCTCTTTCTTTATTTCTTTTGGGTACGGTCCAATTTTGCCGCCACTCCCACCAAACCAACAACTCTAAGACGAAGGAGAAAAAAGATGGAGGCTTCACCACTGCTTTTCTATTTCTATTTTACTTTCTGCTTTTGACGTTTTTTTTTTTTTTCGTTTCTCTTTTGGTGTTTACTCCTTCTTCACTGGCTGATGAAGGGGTGATGGCTACCGACCCTGTATGCCACGAGCACCACTATATGCTGACTTGGAACGAATACCTAAAAACTTTCACTAGTTTCCAAAACATAGAATTTGATAAGAGAAAACTGTGGAAAGTCCATTGCAGACATTAAAATTTAGCATCTCTTCATTTCAGAACTTATTTTTACCGATATATATCTATGTATTTATGTGCATGTCTATCATCAGAAGCATTATTTCTCTTTTTTTACTGAGATACTGACTTGTATTTTTTCTTATCTGAACATCTTATCTTGGTATTTTGTACATTTAGTACTTGTTACACTACAAGTTTTCTATATTGGTCCGGGTGTGTATTAGGAAAAATAAATGTTTTTACATTACAACTTAAGCTATTTTTCTTTCACGTTTTTTAAAAATAGGCACATCTTTTCCGTAGTCTTTCTTTAAAACTTTTACAAAAAAATTGTAAACGAAATTTTTGATAAGAAAATTTAATATAAATTTATGCCGCATCTTCACTTTTTAAAGTTCGCATTTTAAAGAGTTTTTTATGCCTAAAGTGTTTTTTTTTTTCAATGATAATTTATGTCGTTATTCTTTCCTTTCTCGATATAAATACTAATCTTTAACAACAATTGGGATGAATTAGAAGTGAATTTTAAAAAGATCTACAGCAGTAGCATTTATTTAGTAACTGAGAAATATTAGTTTTTAACCTTTTAAAAGCTGTAGAAAACTTTCGAGCAAAATATGCATCTTTTAAACTAAAGAAAAATGTCCATATCACTCTTTAAAATGCGAAGTATAATAATACTTTATATTTCATACGACACAAGACGATAATTGAGGAGCAAATTACCGAGCTTAGTTTAGTCTGGTATAAGGCTATGGAACACCTAGTGAGTTTTCGAACTCGCCTTACTGTATTTGCGGAAATGAGGTTGCTTAACTACTAAATGGAAGACACTAAAAATTCTCTCAATCTATTGGCAATTTTTTAAACTACTTTTTTTCTTCATTTTTTCCATTCAGAAACTTAAGAAGCGTTTTTTTTAAACAATATTTAACGCACAATGCAATAATTTTCTAGTCCAATTGATTTCACCCTGCACCTCGATAAAACGAATTATTAAATGTAATATGACAGATTTTGGAATGACATTTTTTATTGATTGTTTGCACTAATTAAGGAAAAGTAAGGAGTTCTCACACTACTGTGTAAGAGAATGTCAAGCAAGAGTATTAATTCGAGGATATATCTCTTAGTTTTCCGTGTTTATATCCTGCATTGAATGCTTTCTGCGTGAAGGCATATCTATTTAACTTTAGTCGAAAAATAATGAAAATTCTACATCCAAGCAATCCGGACAACTTAAAGACTATTATATCTACTACTATTACTACTCTTATTACTAATTTTAGGAAAAGCGCATAAGGAAAAATCTTTCTACTTATTTGACTAAATTTGAATTTGTCTATTGTCAGTTCTTTGTAGCCTAATCGTTGTGTCGTCAATGACAAACAGGCTCTCTGCGATTAGTATCCCGCTGGCGTCGGAATCTTCTGACCCTTCTTCGTTGGGGAAAAGACTTTAAGTTTACCTCATGGCAGGCCGCAGACTGCCTAAAGCCAGAAACTCGGCGCCGATGCCCCGCGCCGTATACAGGAACATGTCATTAGGAGAAGTATAGATATTAAGTTTGGTCCCAGTTAGGAAACCGATTTGGCGGTGGTAGTTACCTGCCTCCTCCTACACTGCGATTCATGTTCGGTTTCACGTTGAGAGCCCGCACGCGTACGTATGAGCCAGAAGCAAACATCGCCAATTCTGCCATGACCAATGTCATGTTAGCGTCGGAATCCTCCAACCCTGCCTCGTTGTTGTAAAAGGAGATACTGCCGCTAGGTTGGTAGCTCGAGACTAGACGTCACTCATTGCTAGGCCATGAACTTCCTGAAAGCAGAAAAACGAAAGGGAAGAACAGATACTACACTTTGATTCCAGTCTTTAAATCAACCATGCGTCCTATCATGGAATATTGCTGTCATATATGGTCTAATGTCCCTGCTGTACGTCTCGAGATCCTCGACTACATTCAGAGACGAATATTCAATGTCCTGATCTGGCATCTAGTCTACAGTCGCTTTCTCACAGTCGTGGCATGGCTTCCCTCTATCTCTTCTACAAGTATTTTCACGGCAACTGTTCTGACGAGCTACTTTCGCTGGTTTCCAGACTGCATGAATTTAATCGAGCTACTAGGCTGGCATCTCGGTCCCACCCTTTCACTGTCGAAACGGTTAAAAGTAACCATCTCTTCTACTCAAACAGCTTCTTCTCTCGCACTTTCCGTCTGCGGAACTCCCTTCCCTTTGCTTGCTTCCTCGATAACTATAATCTTCAAATATTCAAGCGTAATGTCAATCGACATCTGATATCTTGATCTTGTTCCCCGTTCTTCTCTGTATCCTTTCCTCAAACACGCCTCTTTACTCTTGCTCCCAATTCTCTGTAACCCCTTGCGTGCTAGTGGCACTCTCGCCTTGTTTGGGGCGAATTACTTTAAAAAAAGAAGACCAAATATGACACAGTAGTGACTTGTTGGAAGGATACGAGACGTAGTCGGTTTAACGTGGGGTATTCTTACGGATACATATAGGCCAAGGACAAAAATTAACCTCGTCCTTGCGACTATTGTGACACTTTTGTTAGTATTCACCAAATCTCCCTCTTTAATGCAATGTGGGAGGAGCTGCCCAAGGGTTAAAGTGATCCGATGCGAAATGTTTTGACCCTAGACTGAGCACACTGATACTACACTCTGATGTTAGGAAGAATTATCAATTCTGACGTAATTGTTAAATATTAAGTTCACAAGCAATGATCATTTATCAACAAATACAAGACTTAAACTTTATATCAAGATATAGAACTTTTAACCGGACTTTTTTTAATCATTTCACCCCAAGCAAACTGATAATGCCACTAAAATGTCAGGGATTACTCAAAGTGAAAAAGAATGTGAAGACTTTAGTGGGGAAAAAGGGTTTTAAATGGACAACATTCAGGAAGACAGAAAATGGAGTTTGACGTTGCATTTAACTTTTTGAAGATCGTAGGTGGCAGGGAAAAATCTACCGGAAAAGAGTTTCACAGTCGAGAAAAGAAACTGTTGGAATAGAACTTACGGTTACATCTAGCCCATGTCAAGAGTAAGACAATGAGACCTAACTGCCGATCTTGCTAGCACGCTTAAATTCATGAGGTCGAGGTATCAAGGAAGAGAACTCATTAGAAAAACTGCCATGAAAAAACCTAAATGGTCTTACAAGTAGACACGACCATTTAATGTGCAAATAGAATAAATCGAAATGCTATTGTTATATTTTAAATCAGTTATTATGACCTTTGACCTTGCGTGCTCCACCAGGGACAATTGAAATATATTGGGTGTAAAGCGCGAAAATTATTCGTGACAGGAACGTTTTAAGGCCTAACTGATTAATTCCTAATTACAAAATGCTATTAATTACCTATTTTACGATAGACTTTAGTAACTGATGCTTAACTGATTAACTTTGTGGTATAAAAAGCGATGAGCTTATTGCGTTGCTGTTATTTCGCATAAAGAAAGAAAAGTAACAAAAAAATTAAGTCGCCTAAAGTTTCATGAATAGATAGACAAAAGATTAAGTGTAAAGTCGCCAGGAAGACAGTCAAATGTGTGAGCTTTGAATAGGAGACATCTGAATGAAGCAGCTACTGAAATTTAATTATTTGGCTAGTGTAGTAACAGAGAGATCCGAACGAGCATCGGTATAGCGAAAAAGCCTTTCCTGAAACTAAGCAAAGTATTAAAACATCAGAATGCAAAGAAGAGCGTGCTGAACTGCTGTGTTATATCTATCTTCCTGTATGGCGGTGAGTGCTGGACAATTTTCTAACAAACGAAGAAGAGACTTGAAGCAACAAATGGATGCTTCGAATATCACAGAAAAAAACGTGTGCAATGATGAAGTTATAAAGAAAACAGAAAGACACTCATACTTTAAAATAAGTAAGAGATAGTTGATTTTTTTTTAATCGAGTTCACCCCAAGCAAGGCTATAAAGCCACTAAGACGCAAAGGATATGAGAAAAACACTGCTAACATGAGAGAACAATAAAAGGACAAGTATTAAGAAGATAGAAGATAACAATTAAAAAATTGAATTTTTGACGATTAAACTTGACTTGAAAGCAAAAGGCCGTAAGAGAAATCCACAAATACGATAAAAGAAACTGTTAGCATATATTAACCATTCCAACTGTAAAATGATGAAACCTTGCCGCCAATCTAGTATTGCGCTTAAATTCATAAAGTGTAGGCACCATAGAGGAAAGTTCATCAGAACGATTATCATGAAAGTATTTATAGAAAAAGCACAGTGAAGCTACGTTACGGCGATGGGAAAGTAACTGAAGCCGTGATGCCAGCTAGGACCAAAAATAATGCAGATTCTTCTTTGGATGTTATCTAGAATCTCTAACTATATAGCAAGAGGCGGCTTGAAAAATTTAATACTCACAGGACGTATTGTTGGAAGGTGGATAGAGAGGAAACAACGAGCAGTTTGCCTAAAGAACTTGTGTGAATAGATGGCAGAGAAGTGACATAAAGAGATGGTAAAGAACCAAACGTTACTTAGAGCTACAAGAATCAGGAAGTTGTAGAGAGCCATGATCGTTCTGAACAGGCATAAATGATGATAATATATTTTTGCAAATATTTTGTTTCTTTAAGATGAGTAGTGTTAACCATGGAAATGTTCGTCAGTATTCAGAGGAGTGTTTGAAGTTTAGCTTTCCGTCTGCTGCACATGATGAATGGATACATTTCTTTGAATTGGGATCAAATATGGACCGGAATCCGACAGAATGATGGCATAAAAAAAACAAATAGGAAACGTTTATTAATCTAACATGTTTCACTTTAATTAAAGCTTCATCAGAGAATGAGATATGGAGAAAAAGAGGAAAGCCATTCAGGTATTTTTATTTTTGTATTGTTTTACGTTCATTGGTTAATCAAGATAAATGCACGTGAAACCTAACCAACCAATAGAAATCAAACAACACAAAAATAAAAATACCAGAATTTTTTCTTCTTTTTCTCCTTATCTCATTCTCTGATGGAGCTTTAATAAAAGTGAAACATGTTAGATTGATTAATGTTTTCTATTTGCTACTATTCAACAATATCTGATTAATGAGTCGATGAAATGTGATAGCTTTGAGGCACATTCGAAAACGAATCATAAGTCATGTTAATTCAATATTAAATTATTGTGACTTTTAGTGAAGTTTGAAAGTAGGGCAACAATCACTTTACTGGTTTCTGCTTACAGCCACATCACGTTGAAATACTGGTTCTCGTACGATCGCCGAAGTTAAGCAACATCGAGCCTGGTCATTATCTAGATGGGTAACCAGGTACTGTAAGCTTGGATGTGCGAGTGTTGTAGTGGATAATGCCTCGGAATTGTTAATCGGATAGTCGAGTTCCAATTCCCGTTAGGTTCGCTGTATACACTTATGCGTAAATACGCTTCGAAAAGGTATGAATCCACCTCTCCTCTCCTCTTGGTTAATTAGTAAGACTTGTATTACTAAATCATTATTATCGAGAAGCAAAAGAAATTCTTACAGTCTAAAAATATTTTCTGGCTTTAAATAACCTGCAAAGGGTTGATAAGCTGTAGAAAACGAATCAATCAATTTAATGATTTTTGGAAAAACAATGACCAATAAGCGTACTCGTGGAGTTAGTTATGAAATTTCTCTACTTGCTGCAAACATTGGAAAAAGTCATACTATAAACCAGCTAGTAGATTTTTTCTCAAAACATTTCCGGAGAAAATGGCAAAGATGTGAACGACATCACACTGTGTAACGATAGACTTTGGAGCAGAAGAGATGAATTAGGTAGAAATATCGAAGAACAGCTTATTGTAACGTTAACATCAAGGAAATTCACATGAAATTCACAAATCACGATTGGGCGAATCTACTGAAGAGACCACGATGTCCATTTGTTGATATATGTCAGAGATATGGTTTTTGGTTTGAATATTGCATTGAAATTGCAATGTTGATTCCTACGTCCACACTACTGCCTATATCTATAAATGCTCTAACACCAATATTATAGCAAACTTATATATATATGTACACACACACACACACACACACACACACACACACACACACACACACACACACATATATATATATATATATATATATATATATATATATATTATAATTTTTTTTCATATAGGCAAATACAATTTACTACAAAGATGCAACTTCGTTTCAGTGCATTTAAAATTGATAAGCAAAATTGTTATGAACAATTCTTTTTGTAAGCAAGCCGCATGTGAAAGGTCACTTCCTTTTTTCCATTTACTTGAAAAAAAAATAGAAAATGAAAAATGCATAAAGGCAAAAAGATGACGGAGGGAAACAATAATGGTTGTTGATAGCAGTTTGGTGAAGGATGGTTGAGGTGTTAATGTAATGACTACATCTGAAAAAATTTTTTCGACATCAATGGTCAAGGTTTCAGGCACAGCATTTTCAAGCCTTTTAAGCGTGAGGGGCGGGGGAGGAAAGGTGAGAATATGAGATAT